ATATATATATATATATATATATATATATATATAATAATAATAATTATAATAATAATAATATNNNTNNNTNNNTATATATATATATATATATATATATATATATATATATATATATATATATATATATATATATATATATATATATATATATATATATATATATATATATATATATATATATATATATATATATATATATATATATATATATATATATATATATATATATGTATATACATGTATATATACATATATATATATATATACATATATATATGTATATATGTATATATATATGTACATATATATTATATAATATACTGTATTATAACATAGTATTTTACATAATATTCCACATCGATATTCACTTTGCTACAAAGGATAGATTTCGGTTTTGTAAACTGCAAAGATAACGAGCTTTTTGAATAACATTCATGCTTACATGTGTCGGAGAGCACGACATCTGCTACCAGCGGCTTCTTACTTGGTTTCTTCTGTGGAACCTGACATCGTGTATTTCTTCTTACAGGACTACCTTGACTAGCTCTTAGCTCCGTGAGGGCACTTTTCCCTTCACTGCCACCAAAATATCTTCGAATGTCCTGCAAAAATTATTGATTTTCATAACGAAGTCAGTGCAGTTGTATAAGATAATTAATGAACAACTACTGTTGACACTGATATTTTCATCTACATGAGGCATACACTATGATTAATCGATAAACAAAATGAATTTAAAAAAAAAAGACATATATAATAAAACAACCATTCACTCCTGAATGAATCCAGTAGATGATATTTCTTTATCTTCAAGTATTCCTGAAAATGGTTCCTTCGATTTTCCCTAATTATTCAAGCAATTTTAATCTCAAAACCATTTAAAATCCCCACCGAATATTTGTTTCCATACAATATGTAAAAATGAAAACCAAAAAGAAATTATTCCTCATCCCCTCCCATCCTATCCTACCCTCCCACCCTCTCCCGGAATGAAACTATTACATAAATCTCAAAACTAGCTTCCAAATATCATCGTTCTTCCACCACGAAATGTTGAGGTGGCAATGAAACGAATTCGTCCCAGGCCAATTTTGCTGCTTGCTATAAACCATAGACGCACTTTAACCGTAAACAATAACTTTTTCCCATTTTATCCAGAATCTCCAGACCAGGAGGACTCTAGCTAACTTATGTTATTATCCATCCCTGAAAATAAGCTTCCGACTGTGATATTAATTATACATATAGAGAAATCGGAAGCTAGTTTTGAGATTTATTAGAGATTGAGTATAAACAAGATAGTGCAAAAATAATACAGTTTTGCAAAATAGTACAGTTTTACAAATAAGAAGGGAAATTTGTGCAGAAAATAGACTTCATCAGGAGTTAGAAAATTAAGTTATTTGTAATATTCATAAGCTAGAGCAGCAAATAAAAATAAAATGTGCTAAAGCAGAAGAGATAGCAGAGATCGACAAGAACTGTAAATAACGAACAATTTGTAAATAATTAAGAAAAATTAAGGAAGTTAAGAACAAATAAAAGGAAGGATTCCGTGGAGATTTATGTTAATGATATAATGAAATATAACTGATACTACAACAATTTAATTCAAGAACTATAAAAATTAAAATTTCTTCGAGATTACTCATTACATTATCCACATGCATATCCCACTGCACTTGATCGATCATCCAATGATATTCTGAATATCCAAATGAATATTACTGAAGAATTAATTAGTCTAAATCGAAATAGTTGATAACTATGGTAAAAAACTGAATGAAAATAATAATGAAACAGAAGGAATGAAATTTTAAAAACACAATGGAAATTAATAATGAAACAAATTACAAATGAAGAAATAAAAGAGATTGCTTCATTGTCTTTTACCTGCTCAGTTCAAGTTTCGCCGCCCAAGCGATGAATTTCTAAGATTTAGAACTGGAAAATTCTGGTATACCATAAAGTTTTTCTTTTGCAATTTTTCTTTCCTTCTTTCTTGTTCGCATATGTTTGCCATATCATATTTTTCATTTCTAATTATAATTAACAACAGAAATAAAACTAATGATGGAAGAAATCTGAGAAAGAATAAATGAAAAAAAAAACCCCTCATAATCACTTAAATGTTCATCTTAAACTTCATTGCCCGACTGATGAACTTCCGGAATTTCAACCTGGAAGATTTTGTGAATCGTAAAATTTCACCTCACTTATGATTTTTTTTCTAGCATTTTATTTTCTGCTTGCTTCTTGTAGTAAAACAAGAACAACAGGTAATTATTATTGCTGTTATAGTATGTGGAATACATTTTTAGATTATGGTAATCCGAGCAATCAAATCCCTCGAGCTAAAAATATTTGATAAGCCAACTATTTCCAAAAACCAAAAAAAAGAAAATTAAACAGAAACTTTTTTTTTAAAAAAAAAAAATTAAACGAAAATTTTTAATTAAAATATGTGATCAATTATGAAATATTCGATCTTCTTTCCCGCATTCTTTTTGATTTGTATATTTTCACGTCTTTGTACATTGACATTTTGATGTGTTACACCGTAAGCACACATGAAAATAGCATGGACATAAAATACAAATTTAAGGGTCATCACGGCTCTGCTGGTCAAAGATGTAAAAAAGAAATTCACGTAAACGTGATGGTATAGTTCGAAGTAAGTTAATGTAAGTAAGTTACACTTAAGTAAATCATATACATTGGTGCATTCGATGATTGTTTGCGTCTAAAAATAAATCAGCAAAGTTCAAGATTTCATCATCCAGCAATGAGTCAGAATGTTCGGGAAATTTCTGGAAAGGCCGTCCACTAGATGTATAAAAGCAAGCCAGTAACTACTTCGGCAGTCGTTGTTACACGTGGAGTTATTGGTGTTTACGGTTTCTTTATTTAGTAGAAGGGGAGGGATCACGTACTCCACGTAGATGATTATCACGTAGTAATCTGCATTTAACGGTGATGTATCTTCACTTTTCCTTTTCCTTAGTTTTGCTGTAGTCATTGTATCAAATTTTAATTTTCAATTATGCTACTGTTCATATTCCCGCATTGTTACTTATTTTTCGAAATTCCTTCTCTGCATATTACGCCATTGTTCCGTTCTCCGCATTATTCCGTTCTCCACATTCTTTTGGCATTGTTCCTTTCTCCACATTATTTTGGCATTATTCCGTTCTCCACATTCTTTTGGCATTGTTCCGTTCTCCACATTCTTTTGGCATTGTTCCGTTATCCCGGTAATTTCATTATCCGATAATATCCATTCGAAAGATATCATTACTGGACCATTTACTCCTTCTAGAATATCCTCTTGTTATAGAATGTCTGGGGTGATTTCCGGCAGTCATATTTTTTTACCGAATAATACCACATCTCCTCGTTTCATTTTGCTTCACCGGGCATGAGATTTCATATGTTATATCCTAGATTGTCTTACGTTGAGCATTGGTGAAAATTAACTCGACAATTCACTGGATTCCATATTTATCATTTCAGTCGTTGTTTTGCAGATTCGAAACGCTTTATGTTGCGCTTATTAAGTAGACAGATTATACGTCGGGGGATTGGTGCTGTAATTAATGAACCATGGGTTTCTTCTGCCAGGAATTATTCTTTCGGGTCGAGGTATCCACTATCATCAGTGTTCAGGAGTATTGATAGGCAGCTGCAGGAAATTGAGCGACAGTTTGATCGAGTCTTTTGTGAGTTGCTAGTTTACTTTATATGGATAATAATGAATCTTAGAATTTACCGGTCTTTACTAGTTTTCTGAAGTTCGTTGTATACGTTTTTTGAAAGATTTAGATTCTTGCCTTTGTTCCAGTTCTACTTACTGCTGATTGAGTTATCAACAGTATCGGTTAAAGATTAGTAGGAGAAGGGTTTGTTTGGCTATGCTATGTATTTCTGTGCTGTTTCCATAACTGTGGTGTCAAGTTCAGCAGTGCAGTGACCTCTGAGGAAAACGTGGTGTTAATATTAGTAAAGCGTACGATAATGAATCCCATCAGATTTCCTCGGATATTAAGCACTGACAGGATTTAAACTGAAATTACTATTAGTCAAACAGAAAATACTTGGGAACTAAAACACAGTAATGCATTCACAGTGATAACAGTGAATCTTAGATTTCAACAGTCTTTTACAAATGTTTCGATTAGTAAATTTCTGAGAGATTTAGATTCCGATTTTTGTTCCAGTTCTATAGACCCCTTCCTCTTAGGTCACCCCTTCATTGTGATTTTTTTTGTCAGATGGGAGCAGTAAGTGAATTTGATCTCATTTTAAGGGAATTCACGCGATTGGTTTGATAGTTTTCGACCTATAGGAGTTCGCGAACACCCCTCGCAAATAGAATCATATCGCGTTCTGAATCCAGTCGTGGAAGAAGACGGCGTAAAAAAATTCTTTTTGGAACTCGATGTTCGCAGATTCAAGCCAGACGAGGTTTGTATCGGATATCTCTATACTATTAAAATTTAACCTACAAGCTAATTCTTTTCTCGTTTACGGTTGGTATTCCCTGGAAATAATTTAATGAGAACATCATTAATTTTTGAACAACATTCTGATCATTTTAGATTTTTGCAAAATCCAATCTCAATTTAGTTGTTAATGTGTGCAGGTCACTGTCAAGACCAATGCGAAGGAAAATACTCTGACGGTTGAAGCAAAACACAAAGATGACGAAACGAAGTTTGAATATTTGCGTAAAATCACACTACCGCAAGGAGTGGTTAGTAAAGGTAATCACAAATTTTTATTCAGGTTTTTTTTATTTCTCTTTTATGAGTTCCGAACTTGAAAGAAAATTTAATTTGAAAGTTGTTTATTAATGCTAAATGAAGACTTCGGTCGAGAAAGAGCTGTAAAGGTTTTTTTCAAGATATGACATGCCACTTCACGTCGGATGGAATTCTGCAAATCAAAGCACCATATAATCCACCACAAGAAGCCATCACCGTTGATACGGAGATTCCCGTAAAACATGAATGAGTGCACAGTAATTTTGGTTGGAACTCAAGCATTTCGGTTTACTGAGCAAGGATGGGATGTACTGACGAAGGATTTCATAATATTAACCGATCATATCCATGAGACCGTGCAATTAATCCGTTTTTGATGATCCCTGACAGTATATAACATAAAGCATTAATTTAGAACTAGGGAATGGCTTATTTATCTTTTACAAATTGTCATTACTGTCACATCATGAAATTGCTGGGATTCCCATGGATGCATATTTTTCATATTTACATTCTTCCATGTTTGTTGTTTATGTTATATACTTGCGTTATTTTTTTTTTCACAAATATCTCACAATTAGAACTTTTTAAATCTACAACTCCAGAAATAGTCTGAATATATTTTCGGAGTGCAAATTGTCGTTCAGCGCGGAAATTTGCATTGAAAATGATTTGTACAGGAGTAATTTGTTGGATGTAATAGTCTTATAATTTTAATCATTTCGGAGATCTGGAATTCGCTGGGTTTCTCGACAAAATGAAATTATCAGCTTGCTACATATGAACTATCAGTTCATTTTTTATGAACTGAATTTCAATTTCTCGTGTCGCACTATCAATTATACTGATATTTTTTGTACATTTCATGTAAACTGTATGAATATGCAACAAATAAAGATGAGCAGACATGGCTAGACTGATTACACAGGCTAGCTTCCTGACTATATTTCGTTAGCAATTGGGGCACAAAATTGATTCCTAATTATGTGAAGTGAATATTATCACCTGAAATCGTGACTGGTTGACAAAGCAATACTGTTTTCATGTTGAGAACTGGAAGTATTCCTAGTACTGCTGAAGTTATGTTTTTCATCTTAGCTATCTACTCTATCAGATTTATCGTTTGGATAGCATGTATTTCATGGAGCTATCAATTAAATGGTCTTCCATTTCAACGTTTCACCAATGTGCTAATGGTATTTTTTCCAAAATGCACCAGTATAATTCTCCAACTATTCATTTGTATTTTCTTTTCGCACATGTCAATAATAGACTAAAAATATCACTGCAATCATTACTGTTACTATTGCTACTAAAAAAATGCGATAAATATTGAAGCAATTTTATTTTGAAAATCCACGAAAGCAAAACAGAACAAAAAAAAGAGAAAAAGCGAAAAAAATGATAATGCCAGAAGAGGTGAGTAATTAGAGAATAAACTAGAAAAAAATGCAAGATGAAAAAAGCAAGAACAAACGGAGGAAAAGTGGAAGAAAATTCTCGAAAGAGATATTTTGGCAGGCTTCGTTAACAATTAAAATTGTTTTTACATTAGTACCAATAATGTCGATGATGGTAATAATAGTAATAATAAGAAATAACAGTAATAATAATAACAATAGTAGTAATAATGATGGTAATAATAACGGCTATCATTATAATTACAATTATAATGAGAGTAAATAAAACAATGCAATAAAATGGCAGGACAGTACTGAATATAGCAGTGTGTAAAAATAACGAAAAAAAAAAAATTAACTACTCAAGTTTAAAATACCTTTATCAAATTAGAGTTTGCCAACAAAAAAAAAAACAAGGTAATTAATTGATCGATGAGAGGGAAAGACAATATTCTAAATTATCCCTTATTTAATTCATTTGTTTTTGTTTTTTATTACAAAAATGTAATTTATATTATTAATTTTCTCGTTTTCTTCAATTACATCCGAAATTAATTTCTTTTTATTTATGTTAAATTTTGGGGGGGAAAAAAAAGAAAACAAAAGAAAAAAATCATTCGAATTTCATTTAAATTCCCTTAATTTATCATTTAATCATTGATAAACAGTTATTTTGCCACATATTTTTTGTCGACATGCTGGACATTGATCAAATCGATTCCCACATCCTTCGCAACAAATAAAATGTGAACATGGCATGTAAAGCATTTGTGGCTAAAATATATTATTATAACTGATCATTAATTTATTATCATTATCATTATCTCATTCTTAAAAATGTCAACACTAATAATACACAACAAATTTGAGCACATAATATATCACCTGAGTAATTGTAATAACAATGTTATAATAATTATAGTAGTATTAATAATAATAATTAATAAAACAATAATTAATAACAATAATAATAATAATAATAATAATAATTAATAATAATAATAATAA